ATGAACCAAACACCATATACGGTCTCTCTAGTAAGTCATCAAAAATTCATTTAAATAAATAAATATTAATTTTTTTTTACCATCATAAACAAATCATTTTCATTCAGGCAAATATCTTTGTAAGATCAAGTATAGGAGATTATTTGTGTTGTTTTGTTTGCCTCAATCTATTTTGCACTAATTGCAGTTTATGTTTATCTCATAACAAGAAAGAAAATTTAGATAGTATATGCTTGGATAAGTTATGCATTTTAAAAAATTTAGTTTAATAACATATTGGCACAGTGTTTCTCAAGTTTTATGCTATGTAAACTTGATTTCCAGATGAATATACACCCATCTCAATTTTAAAATAAAATAATTATTTAGATTAATATATAGATCATATTAATTAAATTTGTTAAAGCTAACTTAAAAAAATTGAAACTCAATGGATTTATACTATTCCAGTGGTAAGCACAAAACAAATGTCCTTATAAACTTTTTTTCTTTAATCAAGAGATCCATATAATGTTGATAAAACCTATAAATATTTCCTGAAAACCTTAATTTGATTTGGAAAATGACACATAATAATATTTTGAATTTAAAATATTTTTTTTTAAATTTCAAACTGAAACTACCCGGTTCTTAATTAAGCAACTCTGACTTAAAAAGAAAATGAAAGCTATTAAAAAAAATTACTTTTAAATTAGTCTTAATATCATAATGTTTTTTTTTTTTTTTTAAAGACAAAAAAAACCTTAAACGATAACAGTTTATTAATTTTGCTTTTTCTCTAATTTTTCTAGAATTTTTCAATGCCTAGAGTTTTTAGGCTGTTCAGAGGTTTAGGGCTTCGACATCTTGTTGTTGTCAATGATAACTTTGAGGTAAAAAAATAATTATTATAATTTATATATTTGGGTTATTTTATAATGTCCAATTAAAGTATGTTAAAATGAAGAAAAGTTGTACCGTAATGACATTGACATTATACACACAAATTATTTTTTTTAAAATATGAAATAAAAATCTAATACAATAAATTATTTGTGAGGGGTGAATACATGTATTAGTTTTGAAAAGACGTTTATGAGTAATTTAAAAACTAAATTAACTACAAAATTTTTGGTAATGTACTGTGCAGGCCTGTTTACATAATTTGAAAATGCTATACTAAACCAACAAATTAAAATTTGATTGGCTTTAAATTCTTTTATTTTAATCCAGCCCATTGGTATGGTGACCAGAAAAGATCTAGCAAAGTACCGAGCTGAGATCAAGAAAGGAATGCTACACATGGAACACCTCACAGTTGAAAATAGATAAAACAATGTTTTCATGTTTATATGAGAACCAGGATGGCTTTCATTTTATGAATACTATGGTATATCTATGTATTATTAAATAAATCAACATGTAAGATGTTTGTAGTAAGAGTAACTTAATCAAATTGATTAGAATCATGTATCTCATTTTTGTTGATTTATTGTTACTGCTGCTCTGTTATTTAATTTTTAAAATATGCAAAGCTTTACATTTCAAGTTATCATCTTTACAAAATTATTGTTTAAATATTAGAAAGTGATCTTTGGTTTACCTACAATAGTATTTGTAACAAAAATAAATTTTGTCTTATTTTTCTTTGGTTTGCTCAATTATTAGTAGTAGATCAATTTTAATAATTAAAATTGCTTCCTCTGATTTACTTGTATTTATTTATTTTTTAAATTTCAAACATAAGTTTTTCAGCTTTTTTTTGTAAATTTAGATTAGGATAAAGTGAAGAATTGTATGTGTATGTTTTTTTTTTAAGTGGGGGCTGGGGGGGGGGAGTGGGGTACTATGGCAATGATTTATTGTCCAGGGATAAGGTTTAGTGCCTCTTTATCATAAAGTGTTAAAAGAATTTTTCAGAAATAATGTTTTAAGTGGTATATTTAAAATGACAATTAATGCAGTCCATTTTTACTCATACCAAATATTCTGTAACAAGTTCACAAACTGCTTAATCTTTATCTGTCTTTGTAATAACTTAAAGCTGTTAAGGTGGTCCAAAAATGTAAAGATATTCTTCAAGACTACTTTACCACAAATGGGGGGGGGGGGAAGAGAGTTTTGTTCTGAAGAGTGCTGCTTGTAAATTATGGATTTCTAGATTCCTTGGCAAAGCTGTATGAAATTTTTGTGCTGTTTTTATATCTGGAACTAGCAGATCATCTTTTACACATCACCTAAACTTATACTAAAAATGTGAGTAGACAGTCCATCAGTTATGTCTTCAATTACTCAGAATTAAATGTGTGAGTTGTGATTGAAGATCAAACTATAATTATAAATAAAATGCCAACATAAAAGTGCATAAATTGATTAGAAAAATGTGTAAGAAATGTGTTTTCAAATGTACTTTTTTCCCCCACCAATGAGGCTTTACCACATTTCACTTAATATCAGATAAATTAAATTTCTTGTTACTGATAATGTTTTTTTTATAGATTTATTCAAAACCTTAGGAACCAATATCAACATTTTTTTAATGAATGTCTTTTACATTATAAGAAATTTATTTTTTAAAAGCCAGAAAAAATTGCAACATTCCCTCAATTTTGATCATAATAATGTTATTGTGAGATTCTGATCAAACTTCATAAAAAAAGTCACTATTTTTTTGATGTATTAATCAAAACCAAATATTAAAATTGAATTCAATTTTTTTAATCGGTAAACTTTCACTAAATATATTTTGTTAATACTAACTTTATATATTAGTCAGTGATTCTAACCCACCACATCTATTGATTTAATGGCAGCAACTTTAGTTTTTGTGGGTGTCTTTGCATTGTTCAGTTGTGTTACCAAATCTCTCAACTCTCATCCAATAACCGCAAGTGTCCATAGTGAATTGCTGAAATAATTGGATTTTTAAAAACGTGTTTTCTGCAAACTCATGATATAAATTTATTTTGATTTTTATCTCACTTTTAGAGGTCTTTTTAAAAAAAATATCCCATTTCACCTCCTAAAAATTATTTATAGACTCAAAAAAACAAGTTGACAGTAAAATGATTTCCTGGTGCACCATTGTAAACCACAATGTAGGCCAGAGTACTAGGCTTGGTAAATTTACCTGGATTTTATTCATATTCTAAATATTTAAAAATACTTACATTAATAAGACTTGTTTTATAGTTTGCTAGTCAAAAGATTTTTAAGTAATATTTTTATCATAATTGGACCACCCATCATTTTTTAAACATTTATTCTATTCTGTCATGGAATAAGTGACTTGCTTATTTTACTTGTTTGTAATCAAATCTTAACCTCGTTTTCGTGTATGTCAAAGAACATGTTCAGAATCAAACATTCCTTTATGTTAAAATGAATGGTACATAAAATGTGTAAAATAGGATAACAATATTTGTTTATATTATATTTATAATTTATACTTTGTTAATTGTGAGTTTCGTATTATTTTTTCCACGAAGAAAGACATCGAAACCCATTGACTAATAATTAGAAAATGCTCTTCCATTTTTCTTTCAAATAAGAAGGCAGAACCTGCTGATTTGCAACACTTCTCTAGTACCATATTGTAGATCTTCCAAAATTAACTTTTGACTTATTATTGTATTAATAAATGTATTACTGTCCTACTTATTTTTTAAAACTTTATTCTTGTCATTGTTCATACTTGCTCTGTGGCCTTGCACAATAAAAATCAGTAATTCACATCTGCAACTTCCTAAGTAAACTGGATTTTTTTAAATTACATTTCATCTAAGATATATTATGCTTGTTTTTTGCTAAGCATCTTTCATGAACTAGAAGCATCTTTAGCTTTAAGATTTTACTGGTACAAACTTGCTGAGACTAACTGAATACTCTCACATTGCCAACTAAACCCTTTGTTCAACCAATAAATTCAGCTGCTTTATGCTAGTTGATGACTTAGAATTAGAAACAGTTTCAAAATAGGAATAAAAAAATGAAATAGTTATAGTTTAGTAACATTACCAGAATACATTCTAGTAATTAGTTCTCTTTAAAACAGGGTAAAATATTAATAATATTAGGGTAAAAGATTTGATGGTCAAGCAAGCATAATGGTTTTACTTTTACCCTAAAAGAAATTGAGCTAAATTTATAGCCAAAAAAATGTAAGCTGCTGCCTAAGGAAAATGCTGTTACTTTCACCAGCTTAACATGCTTCAAATGTTTTATTCACGTTTTGATAAAATAAAGAGCCATTAATCATTAATAAATGTTTAAAGTTTGAAAAAATAAATAAAAACCTGTTTCAAATTTTTTTTTTTTTTTAGAGGTACTAATTTACTATTTAATCAAATTGCTTGATTTATGAATGAAATAAAAATTTGATGTTTAAAATTTAATACACCTTCTAAGTGGGCATATAAAGATACTAATAATTGCTAAAAAAAAGAGACATTAATCATTAATAAATGTTTAAAGTTTGAAAAAATAAATAAAAACCTGTTTCAAATTTTTTTTTTTTTTTTTAGAGGTACTAATTTACTATTTAATCAAATTGCTTGATTTATGAATGAAATAAAAATTTGATGTTTAGAATTTAATACACCTTCTAAGTGGGCATATAAAGATACTAATAATTGCCATTTTTAAAATCTGAGATCCCCCCCACTCCCGTTTTGTAAGTGTTGCAAATTCCTTCTTAAAAAATGCTGCATATTTCAAAAGATACCAATTATTTTTGACAATTGCATATTACTAAGAGTACCAGTACATTTGAAAGTGATTTATCCAGGCCATTTGTTTTAAGGGATTGTCCCAATATCAATAGAAAACTGGTGTTAGTTTTATATAAATTAATATAATTATAACTGTTGTTAATTTTAAAGCTTTGACCTTAAAGTTTTTTTTTTATCTTGCATTTTATTTAATGTGCCAATAATTATGCTGACTGCAATGTTTCATTTTCTTGATGAACACATATTGCTAATTGCTGGGTCACAATGGATGAGCCTAATGAAAACAAATATCAGAATATTTCAGTCTTTTTAATGTACACATGATCATATTCAAAAGTTTATCAACGAAATGGTGAAAAATCAAACCCTGGCATAAAATGACAATGTAATGTTTTAACTTTCTATGAAAAGCAAATGTAAACTACAACAGATATAAAGACTATATCTTATAACAAACTAGCAAGTTACAATACAAGCAACATTTTTAATTTTTTAAAGTAGTATAATTTACCAATAATTTTTTTATTTTTAAATAAAGGTAATTTAGCTAACATGATGTAGAAATAACTAGGAGATTAAAGGAAATTTCATAAAATACAACTTCTCCAATTAGCCTTGCATACCAACTGTCCAACAATATTATATCATGATCCTCGCCAACACATAATTTTTTTTAAAATATGAAAAAAAAATATGTGGAACATTTTATGGAGTTACAGTTTAAAAATACTTAATCCAAAATACAAAAGACATTAAAAGATATCTAAGTAGAGCAGAGACGAATAACTTTGTTGGTCACAATGAGGAAGTCCTCATCCTGTAGCTCACGCAAAGCATCATCAAACATTTCCTTGGTAATAGGCTGAGGAAAGGATATTAAATCAACAAATAAGTAAATTTGCTATGAGAAAATTATTTGGCCCTTGGGACTGCAAAAGGTAAAATAGTCATGCCACTTGAGAGAATTTTTAAAATAAATTATTGGTTTACCTATCATCACCAACCTTTTCATTTTAATCATTTGTGATTTAGATATTTCAGAAGCAGAATTTTAATTGAAAACATATTTGTTCTAATGGAAAATCGGCATTAAAAAATAAATTTAAAATCTAGAGAAGGACTTACAAAATCTGATGTCTCCCTGAAGTCTTCATAGAGCTTCTGATGTTTAAGTGTCGGCACTTTACCCTTGGACTGAATCATTTTCTTCAAGGCTGCAGCCACTTCAGCCTTTCTCTTCCGGGCAGCTCCACTCATGCCAGTGGTCAGAATTGTAATATCTATCTTTCCAGTGGCAGGATCAACGGCAGCTTGTTTCAATGCTTCTTTGTACAATCTATATAGAAAACAACAAATCACTGCTTATTTTATGAATTCTGTAGTTGAAAATTACTAATTTTAATTTGAGTCAATATTTGCTTTGCATAATAAAAAAATCAGGAAAACTATATCTCACAATAATAGCAGACTTGTTAACCCTCAAACTCTTCAAATCGTACAATATCATCACAAAATCGTTTAAAACATCTTAATTGTAAAAAAATAAACCTACAGTATGAACATGTATACACCTTAAAATCATACATTGTACGCCAAAATCGTAAGAGTAAACAGATCTGCAATAGGGATCAAAACGTTTATTTGATTTGATCAAATCTTATCTATTTTGCTGGGATGATATGACGCTGGCCACCACAAGCAATGTTTACCTTCTTGCCTCTTCAACATCAGCCACCTCAACAGTTTCAGACAGCCTCATTCTGGCGTGAGCTTCTGCTAATCTTATCAATGACTCCAACTGTCTTGGGTAGGCAGATACCTGGCCCCTTGAACTTCCCACTTTACGCATTTCAACATATGCATGGATGAATGCCTGTCCAGCCTCCTCTCCAATCTTGGGGTGTACAAAAGCTTTGGCGTATGTGAGATAATCCTTCAAAATGGTCATATCCTGTAAAAACAATTATAATTATAAAAGCAAGCAATGTCTACTGGTATTAAACATTATTTTTGGTCAATCTAAAACTCATAATAAAAAATCCCACATGTTAATCAACAAAAACTAACTTTACCACACAAGTGATTAATACTTTTTAAACTCCACAAATACTTAAATAATGTGTATATTTCCAACACCCTGCATTTGCATAGTGAATTCCTTGTCATCCTTCATTCTGTACCAGGAACCATTTATGTGCTGAATGGCATGAGGCCATGGCAAAAAATGTGCAGGTCGTGCTCAGCTGGTCTTTGTGAAATTGTAGATAATTGCTGGGCAGTGAAAGAGGTGACCTGGTACTATCTCATTTGGATGTTTGCAGAGAGAGCGATTTGGTGTTCAGTCTGATTTTATACAGATAAAGTTTGAGTTTTGATGGGTGCCTATGTGCAGGCCAAAGATTACGAGTTTTTGTCTATGAAGGAAATGTATGGGTATTTGGGATTTTGGCCAGATCAATCTTCCTGATGAGCCCATCCATTTAACCTTTATTTTCTGTTAACTCATATAATTCTTTATTTATTTTAAATGATGTAGTTATGTTCATTAGATGCTCCCTGCTTTGCTTGTGTCTCTGCTTTATTTTCTTGTATATTGGTGTGTCCTGGAATCCACTTTAAGTTAGTTAAACTTCACAGTTTTAAAGAATGTAGTAAAATTTCCAAAAGTAGTATGTACTGATGTTGTAAGGCCATGGTGTTCAAAAGCCTAAAGAATCGATTAGTAATCAGCGAAAAGGATAAAATTACATTTTTTTTTGTTGGGGTAAGCCGTTTGTTGTGCCCATACAGTCACATTTGGTAAGCCGCTGGTTGTCCCCATACAGTCACATTTAGATAAGAGGGGTCATGTTTCAGAAGTATCCAGAAATGCTATAGACAAGGAGGCATCTTGTGTATCCAGGTAGTCACTACTTCTAGCCCGGAGAAGCTTTATATTTAGCATCACGACAACTAACCATCCGTGTATTGTCAATTAAATAACATTTTAAAGCATTTGCAAACAAGATCACAACAACAAAATCAAAGAATTATTACCACATTTTCTTCCTCCTCTGCTTGTTTACTTCTAAAATAAAGAGAAACTAAATGTCCAGCAAGTCTGCGATCAAAAAGCTCATCTTGAGGATCAAGTATAAGGAAGATAAGGTCAAATCTGGAAAAAAATCAAATAATATAATTTTAATAGCTATTCGTTCCTCTTCTTAAGAGAGCGTACCTTTATGGATGTGGGTTATTTTCGCTAGTAAAATTTGTGTCTTTTTAAAGTGTTGTATAGTTTTCATCACACAAATTGGAAGAATAATATATTTAAAAAAAAAAGACTGATTTTAAATAACTTTGATGATTTTTTGCGAGAAAATTACTGTGAGGCGCTTGTCAACATGGCAGTGCAGAATCTAGAATGATGAATATTACTGATAAAAACATCAATAAAACTTTATCTCAATCTTCCAGGGAAGATAGTTGGGAACCTGAATTAAATGATTCTGATTTTGATGAGAATCTCCATTTGAAGCCCATTACAGTTTTTAATACTGGAAGGTTAGTAATCAAGTGTTTCATCATTCTATATTTTATTGATTTAATTTGCGTTTTTAAGTATACTGAGATACTTACTAGCCATTTTTAAATCAACCTAATTAATTAAAATCGTTTTATAATATGTGAATATTTTATTAAATAGTTAATTGTGAAGTCGTTGTTCTTAGCAACTTTAGCAACGGAATGTAAACAATACAGTTGGCACTGCTTACTATGATATATTTCATCCTAAAGGACATGAAATTTGACATCAATGTGTTGTCAAAATTTCATCAACCGACACTAAATTTTATAGTCATAATGGTTTTTAGACATTTTTGGAAGTAATAAATACTGGAAATTTAAGTGAAGTATAAATTTTGTATTCATTTCATCCCTAAAAGTAGCATATTTGTTCTTTTACATTAAATGGGTAAACTCATATGATGTTCAAGAAGGTGGGCAGCTGTTTCTAATGCCGAAGTTCCTCCCAGCCAGAAAGCCAGGCTTACATATGAGAGACAAAATGTTAACATGGATACAGTATCTTCCTCCTAAAGGTTTTTCAAGATATTTTTCATACTGGATTTGGTTGAAAAATTTCTAAAATATACCAGCTGTTCAACTACCATGGGACCTTCTATACCTTCCATCAAATGAGGTTGATGGATATTTTAACAGATGTCTAATGAATTTTACAAATTTCTAGGACAACTAAATGTGCATGGCAAATGTCAATTCCCAAATGTACAAAAATACTTGTCAACTTCAACAATCATTGATTACTATCATGAATTTTGGGTTAATGCCTTATTCCTAAAACAGTTTTTTCAAATTATGACATTCTTCAAAGTTTCTAATATTGAAAATCATTACATGAAGTTTTTTTCTTTCTTCTTTTCATCTGATAACCAAATAAATTGAGTACAAATTTTATTTATTTTTTCTTTCTTTTTTGAAATTAAAAAAATGTTCAAACAAACATTTTTAGAAGCTTCATGCATTTCTCCACAAATTTATATATAATTTATATCCATTAACTTTCTAAATGGATTCTAAAAGTTATTGACTCTTCTGTAAAGTCACTAGAAATCTCAAGAAAAACATGAAAAATTCAAGGAATGTAAAGAATAAAAGTTAAAACAAAACGATATACATAAAACTAAGTGATATTAAAAAGGATCTTTTTAAATTTAAATGATTATTAAAAAAAATTAAAATTGTAGCAAACCAAGTGAAATGACTAAATAAATTTTACCTAGAGAGAAGGGTATGAGGGAGCTGGATATTTTCTGTGATGGTTCTGTTTTTATTCCACTGAGATTCAACTGGATTGGCTGCTGCCAAAATGGATGTGCGTGCATTCAAAGAACAGATAATACCAGCCTTGGCAATAGACAATGTTTGTTGTTCCTGAAGTTTTGCAATATAAGTAATAACTATAAGCATGTCCAAAAAACACTGATAGGCTGATTCTGTGTATAAATTTTTCACAAGTCCACACAATATTATCACAATGACAAGTGTTAATTCTCTCTCAACATGACTTCTTAAATAAACTTACATTTTAACTTGTAACAAATAAATTATAAAGGTTATTATGTTGGAAAGCTTAATTGTTTCTCTAGGACATTTATATCTCATCAAGTATTTTCATTTGAATAGAGCTTGTAATACAATTGGAAAATTTCAAATTAAATAATTTCTTGATTATTTTTTTTTTCAAGCCTAAACATTTACAATAAACGTGCTCAAATAATGTACGAAATAATTAATGCATTACATTATATAAGCGAGTACTTGTAAAACACTTTTCATATACAGTATATATTTTAAAGGATGGGAAATTCTATGTAAGGCTATATAATTTTTAGTAACTTTTGAGTGGCACAGTTTTTCCATGCCTTGAGTAGAGAATGTTCCCTTTTCACAATATTTGCTGTAAGAGTATCTTTTTTTTCAAGAGTTTAATTTAGAAATTTATCATCAGCTACAATTGAACATACCATAACTTCATGAAGTACAGATCTGGTGCTGTCATTCATCTTATCAAACTCATCAATACAGCATACACCATTGTCACTCAGTACCAATGCTCCTCTGCAGAGAGAAAAATATCAATGTTACGTGGTTGGAAAAAAACTGTTTACAAAGACCATAGTATTCAAAATTATGGATAAATCTGGTATTGCAAAGTGATGAATAAGCCTTTAAGAGTCACTCACGTTTGTAGCACCAACTGCCTCGTTTCAGGATCCTTAGTGACATATGCTGTAAGACCGACAGCACTGGAACCTTTTCCTGATGTGTACTGGCCACGGGGCACTAGATGATGAACATACTGCAGGAGCTGAGACTTACTTGTACCAGGATCACCACAAAGAAGAATATTTAACTCTGCCCTGCAAAAGTTAATAAAAGAAAAGCTATTAAAATTTTAAAATTTAACTATAATTTAATACCAATAAATTTAAGATAAAATCATTAAATGAACACATTTTCTATGCAGTTGGTTGAAAAAATATATTGTTTATACCAATTAGTTTCATTTAGATAAGGTAAACTGATACTTATTTAAAAACAGAAAAGAAGAGAACAAAGAATTACCTGAATTTTCCCCTGCCAGTATTTGTAAAGTCCTTTCGGTTTCCTCCAAACAGCTGAAGTAGTATTCCTTTCTTGATATCCTCATTCTCATAAATGCTTGGTGCTGGGATATATGAAGTTATTAAAAACTTTTAAAGCTCAAATACTAAATCAGAAAAAATATAATTGATTAGTGATATTAAAAAACTGAAATCTGATTCCCTTATTTCTTTACACTGAAGAAAAAACTCACCAATAGCTCTGGCTAGTCTTTCATAAATGTCTGACTTTTTCGACAGATTTTTCACAATTTCAATTCTCTCTTCACTCATGTGTACAGTTTTCCTGCAATAAAAAGTAGAAACTATGTAACTATTGGTCTTCTTGCCCTTCACAACCATGTGCATGACAGTTTTCATATACCTTGAGTCTTATGTACTTAAAACTATGTTACATAAAAACAAACCTTTTTAAAGGATATCCTAAAAACCTACATATAAAATGTTTAACTGTTATGCATTATTAGAGCTAAATTTAATTTATAAAATTAAAATGAAAAGATTATTTTATGGTTTTATAAACACGTCTATGCATAATGCTAAAAAAAAATAAAATGGTGTTAAAATATCCCAAATAATGTCAAATGACATTAGGAAGTACAAATAAGAAAATGGAGATCAATGCACCATGCACTGAGGACAGTAATATAAAATATTTCTTAAGTCCCCATCACAAAATCAACAAGAAAATGTTGTGTCAGAAAAACAATTAAACACATGGATTGAGAGCAACAATAAAAAAAGAATGAGCTGGAAAGATTAGCTCAGGACTGAGGTTAATGGAAAGAATTTTTTTTATTAAAGTGATAGAAATTATAGCAATAAAAAGGGAATAGAAGAATTTTAATATTTAAAAATGATAAATTGAAGTGTTTTTTTTTGTATTTTTTTTGGTTGTGGACTGCAACTGGTTACAAAATATAATTTACAAGAATGCTTTATGGTGCATTTCATTTTTGCAAAATCATCACTTTAATATTCATAAATTCCTTTTGTAGTCAAAAGCGGTTACACTTAAAAATGATAATACAATAAATGGTACAGAAATTCAACATGCTTACCCATCTTCTGCCTCCTCTGTAAGTCTTTTGGCATCCAATTTTCGGAAGTGGACAACATCAACATGTGTCTTGTACACAGATTTAACATTACGCTGTCTAGGGTTCACACGCAGGGGAACAGCCCTGAATATTCCTGTGACTGTCACACGATCACCAGGCTGAACACGGTCCACCAAGTCATTATGGGCATAAATTATGATTGTATGTGGTGTCTGGCCAGGTGGCATGTCCTCTAAAGTAAAAACAAAATGTTAATTGATAATTTTTTTGTTGCTTAGACACATAAAAAGAAGCTGGTTTCAAGTGTGTGTTTCATAAATTGAATGCTTTCAAGCCAAATATTTTAAAATGTCAAACTTTTAACTTCAAAAGTATCATAAAAGTTAAGTTCATTACCAGGAGATTCCTGCATTTTGATCATTTGCTTATCGGAAAACTGGGATCTGTTGTGGATCATCTGGTAGGAGAATTTTGTATTACAATGAGTGCACAGCGTAGGCTCAGCAATGCGACCACGATCAATCTCCACTGTAGTAGTGTTTTGACAAACATGACACTGGAAGAAAGCTTCTCTCATCTCTGGTATGATAGAAGATGTCCTGATCACCATGCCACTGATAGTAATGAGCTGGTCAATATCTGATTAGAAAATTCCAATTATAAAACTTAGATTCCATTATAAGCTTAAGTAATACAACAAATCTATCATGCAATTAAAATGAATTTAGTAGAACTTGCATATATTCGGTGTTAACGAAAACATACCTTCAGGATTGAGAGCTCTCATATTTTTTGTGTGTTCAGCATTGTAAGGCCGCACTTGAATTTGGTGCTCCAGTGTTGCATTTGGAAAGCGCTCAAAGAACATTTCATTTATTGCCATATCAAAAGTAGGAATGACTTCTTGAGGGTAGCTGAGTAGCTGACGGTAAAGGTCTGCATCAAATTCTCTAAGGTGTGAGCAGTTGACATTAAGGAAGGGCTCACCAATAATATTTATCTGTAGAGATAAATAATAAATTATAATGTAAAATTAATTTGAATTAGCTATTAATATCCTATATTTTATTATCAACTCTTTAAAATAAACTAAGTGGATTTACATTGTACATGAATAATTAAACCTAATTATTTTTTTATATTCTAGATAAAAACCACCTAAACGATGACTGTGCTAATTAAAATTTTATACTGTTCATTGACAAAGATGAGATGGTGGTGTGAGGTATGGCCCATACTTATAGTCGCGTACCAAGTAGTTTTGGTGTTGGTTAATACGGGGCCGCTCCTCTTTATGATAGTTCAGTAATTCAGACGTTGAGGAATACAACGAAGACAACACAAAACCGCAATGAATGTCCAAGAAACTCCTCAGTAACGTTATAAATAAAAGGATGTATTGAGAGATCTAATACAGTCCAGTAATGTTTCTTTTCCAACCGTTAACATCCATTAATCTCCAACGTTTCAAACCTAAAACATTACCCCACTTCCCCCGGAAATTGCACCCCAGCTCATTTATCATTTAGTAAACATGGTGCCACATATGGGGAAGTTCCGAACAAAACACATTGTAAATTACACGAAGAAGCAATGGAGCGTTACTGTTAAACCCCACCCCAGTCATTTGTGACATTCATGGCCAGGAGAAATACTTCAGTTAGTGGAAGTGGAAAACCATTTTTTAAATAAAATACTTTGTCCTCAAGAACTAATTAAATCACAACAGTCTTTACATATTTCAACATTGAAATGATGGGGGGGGGGTTTGTTGTGTTGTTTTCATGTTTTCTATACAAAAGACCAAAAGATATACCTCGTCCATCCTCTGTAGATAATATGGCCCATATATATCCATTCCATCAAAGCGTTCATCATCAGCCATACTTTTGTCAACAAATCTGGTTATGAAGCTTCTGAACTTTTCTTTACAGTGGCTGACCACAACATCTGTTCCCCAAATAACAAGCTGTGGTCCTGTAGGGTTTACATCACTGGCTGCTTCACTGCGATCAGTTTCCTACCATTATATAAACAAATGATATAGTGAGATGAGCAGGCTAAACTAATTCTTTAATTTTAAAAAGTGAACTACTATATAATAAAATAATAATAAAAGCAAAACTTACAGGTCAGTAATGAAAGCATATATTAAAAATGGCAAGTGAGGATTTTGACATTTATTTTTCCAAATAATAAATATATAAAGTGAAAATTTATTAAATAAATTTAATATAATAACTTACTGATGGGGGATCAGTTCCACCAACAGTCACTTGTCTCAGTTTTCTGTCACTGCGAACGTCAGGTCGGTGTCTAATGGGAGTTGCACCAGGAGCTGGTGTGCTGCCTGCAACACTGTGAGATCCGGGTGTACCATAGTTCAGGGGTGAGCTAAGATCAATCTCACTTGTTGGTACTGAGAATTTAACGAAATAGTTATCTTTAAATTATCACCCTTTAAGTTTTGATATTTTGATTCTACCTAATAAACAATTTTTCTTATTTAGCTCATTAGATAACCATCAATTTTACCGGTTTTAAAGAAATTAAAAGTAAAATGAGACTTGTGAAATAATCATACAATAGAACTAAACACTTGAAATTTTAAAAATACTAACCAAAATTCTATGTTAGTAAAAGAATAAATGGCAATGTAAATGAACCATTATAGAATTTTAGAAAAATGCCATAGGGGGAATCCATACATTATCTACACACAAAAAAATACCATACTTTCATAACCGCCCATACCTTCATGCACCCATACATTATGGGGAAACCCCCACCCCCTATTTTTTTAGCATATTATTTACTGAATCACCACCAAATCTAATATGTTATGCGCTCCTAGAAATGATGGTACATGATATACTAACATCCTCTTGGGCTTGTAACAAAAGAATCATCAGCTTCGGGGGCTCCATCTGCTAATGAAGAAGAATCTAATGGTCCAATCTCAACAGGAGATGATGCATCAACTCTGCGTCGTTGGGGAGGTGGAGATGAGAACTCACTTCCTTCTTTTTTGGACTTTCTTGCACTTGATCTAGTTGCTAAAAAACAACACATAAATGTTAACAATGATTTGATCAAATCAGGGTTTAAATTGTCATGTTTGAACATTAAGGTCTTAGTAGTTCTTTATTGTTTTGCAAAAGAGAAATTTTCAGAAGATAGGTGCGAAACTAAATTTGATCCGAAAAATCAATAGTGCAGAATATTATTAATCTCAGTCAAATAAGTCTGTACAAAGCAATTATGTTGTTCGTCCGACGAGGACCATCGAGTCGTCTGATGACTGATAACTTGCACGGGTGACTTTAGTTTAAAGTGAGGAAGAGTTGCGCGCATCAACCTCACTCTCTCTTCCGGACCCACCATATCCAGTGGCAAGACTCTATGTCAAGACGACCAGGGATGGGTACAGTTGCAGGAATTGTCATTGTATGCGCCTTACGGGACTCCAACTCCGGGTTTGAATTCAGAGTTTCCTTCTCTTAGATGAGTTGCCGACCAAGGTTAACGAGTCTCTTCCACCTGAGATGATGTTTTTGCTTGACTGAATTGAACTCCAGATCAACAACTTGAGGTTTGCTCAGTTTAGACCATTCGGCCACCCAGTCACCCATGCAGTGAATGACCATGGCGTTCTACGTGTCTGGCCATGCTCTTAGCGATTCATATCACTTTGCTGTCTCCACCTTTTGTCCGTTGACCAAGTAGTGGATCTTCCGCACAATTTGCCGGATTCAGTCTTTACATGCTATGGGGAACAAGCCCTTTTTTTCTGAAAGTTCTATGCCTTTCGGCTACCCTCAACCCGGAATCATTGTCTGGGTTTTGGTCGCTGAGCATGTTACAGCTTCTTGGAACCACAGGTGAGAGCCGAGAGACGTCCGGTTGTTTCCCAACAAGATGGCTTCTCCTATTCAGCCTAACAGTAGATCTATATTGTAGTGGTATTTAGAAGTAATTAAGAATCTGTATTAAATTATAAAAATCTATGTTATGATCTCCAAAAACAAGCTGCAACTTGCACAAGAATGCTGAGTAAATGGACTCAACAAATAATTTATGGTGACTTCATTTAATAGCTCCATACTACCTTTTAACAGAAAGGACTGGCCAGGAGCAATAATTAGCAAAAAAGTGAAGGTTGTTTCACTTTGTTGACAGATATAATTAGGTCTTGCAATATCCCCCCACCCCCCTTTTTTTCCTCTCCTCACTTTGGTGCAATTAAAACAATGAATTACTAGTTTTAAATCAACTCTTAAAACAATACTTTTAAATATCTCAAAATTATTTCCAATAATTTTGATTGTATAATTAGGTGAAAAAATCCAAACCATAAACCAGGAAGCAACTAAATGCTTATGCAGGCCCATTTTTTTAATAACTTCGTTATGAAAATTGAAATGTAACTCACGAGTAGATGTTGAGGATCTTGATGATCTTCTGGTAGCTGGAAAATAAATATATAAAAGTAGAATAAGACAAAACTGCTGTCAATTAGGATACTAATTCTAGATTCATGGGCTTCTCAATCTAGGCCTAAACTAAATATCAAAATACTGTGAAATATTTAAATATATTTAAAAAAAAAATATTTAAATGCTTTCAGTAACATTACTAACAACAGTATCATCTGTATACAAGCATATCTGAATTTCATAAATTAGCATTTTTAATTTATATCACCATCTAAATCTTACGAGTTTGAACATCATTGCCATCAGGGGTGTTTTCAACTTCAGTCTCAGATGGTCTACCTCTCTTGCTCCTTCTGCTTGGAGTAGATGGTTCTGATGGAGGTTGTGAAGACATTCTTAAATCCTAACACCTAATGTCTGCAAAAACTTCTGTCAGCACAGGCTTTGTAGTTACTTACACTACTTAAAGCAGTTGAGTGCTACCTGAAAAATATCATACTTATTATAAATGATGGATCTGGAGTGTGAGTGTTTTACAGAAGTAAACTCAAAACCACATGGGCATGACTGATCTTGATTCAAACAGTCTTGAGTCTTATGGAAATACTAATTTCGACCACTGTATTCAGTTAATACTTAAAATATCTTATTATTATTAAGAATATTATTATTATTATAGTATTATTAGTATAGGGTAGACAAAAAAAAATTAACTCTTTTTCTAAAGTATAGTATAGTCTATAGTTAATTCAGTTTGTAATATATTTTAATTTTTTATGAAATTAATTTTCAACAGGGATGAAGAGAGCTTTTTTTATCCTGGTTTCTCTATTTTCATGATAATGATAAGCAAAATCATGGGAAATGAGAAACCCTACTCAGTTACAGTGGGCTAGGCCAACACTACATCTAGATCTTTTCTTCTTCTATATCTTAAGGGCCCAAGATCAATTTATTGATCATTTTGGCTCCAATGCATGTCATGATCCGGGAAGTGCCGAAAACCGGGTATCGTGATTTCGTTGTCAAAATGGCGACCTCCACTTTTTAATTTACCGAGGGTTGTGTTGTTTAAGATTTTTTTTGCTAAAGTTAGTTTTGTTATTAAATTCTATTTCTGCCCTCAACTTAAAGCAGACATGTTTGTTGTTCATGTGACACTTTTCTTTAAGAAAAAATTTGACAGTTTGACATTGAAAATTAATGGTAAATAATAGCTAATTTGACTCTTTCATAATTTTTTTTTGGAAAATATAAGTTTAAAAAGAGAAAATACCAATGTTAGATGTAGGCATAAATGACAACATATCCAAAATTCGTGAGGTTAGGACCCCGCCATGGGTGAGAAATTTGTGTGCAAAATTTTTGTCACATGTGTCCCAAAATTACCTATTATCGATAATGGACGTTTTTGTAATAAGCAACTTGATTTACACTGGAAATCCAGCATATTACCCACTAATAACTAATTTTAAAACAAAGCAACAATTTACTAGCACAAATACCTATTTATAATATTATCTGATGCTTTATTTTGAGGTATTAATTGGGGGAGTGGGATAAATAACCCTAGCCTTAGTAGCATTATTACACTTACAGTAGGAAAATATATATATATATTTATTTATATATATATATATATATATATATATATCCTTTAAGCCTAGTATAGACCTAGTGACATCCCAACTTGTTATTGCAGAATCTATTATAGGTAAATGATATTTATGGCTATGTAGGCCTAATCATATTTTAATAAACATTATGATTCTTAAAATAAAATTAAAAATGTAAATATTCACTTACCTTTGATATTGAAATATCCTGTATTCACTCACAAATCACAATATTCCACAAGAAACTTATTATATAATATAATCCTCAATATTCAAGAAATAACACACTCTGCCACAGTGATCCAAGAATTTCTTAAGATATTATTAAAGAATAATCATAAAAGCTTGTACTTACCTCAAGCAAATGACTAGAACTTATTTTAATTTCTATCAACTGTCAAAGTTGATACATTTTGATTTGTGAAACAAGATTACTAACTTAAAATAAAGAATCTGCTATTTTTTTGGTCATATTCAAATGAGACTAAAAATACATATATAGAAAATGGAAAAATAAAAAGTATAATTGTCAATTTTAGATAAAGGAATCAAATAATCCCTGTATTATTATTTGATACTTATAAATGTTAAACAATTCCATTGAAAATTTGAAATTAATATCTAAAGAATATTATTATTGTTATAAAATTAGGGAAATTTAATATATATGTGTTTTTAAAAAATATATTAATTAAATACAAATAAGTGACGAGTCAGCATATTTGATACATTTTAATAAGGAAAATTATCAAGATTAAAAATATTTTTTTGCGGAATATTAACAAAAGCTACAATTGTATTTTGTGGCTTAATTTTGAAGAACTCATATTTAACTGTGTTCCCTGTAAATATTATATTTTTGTCTCATTTTATAACAAAGTTATAGGCATAAAAACAATAGCAATATAAGGGGGACGAAATGTGGAGGAAAATCCCATAGTGAAAAAGTGCTTTTGAGGTCCATACTAAAAAATTCATAACTTTTGAACCACTTGAGCTAGAAAGTTGATCTTGGTGTTTTTGTAAACCACTCTATTGGCTCTATACAGCTGTAGTAGTTTTATATTTTTTAAAATGTTTAGAAATTTTCATCAAAGTGCCTAAATGCATGTAGATGGGATTTGCAATGTTTCTGTTACTGGTGTTAATGAGGAAATCATGCATGACTAGGGGTTTGAAGATCTAGTCACTAACCTACTACTACAGTACGAACTTGAGTACACTCTGACTGAAGACTCTCAGAGTATGCTAATTCAGTACATTGAAAGACAACGACTACAGTAATGCGCAGCCAAAAATGGATTTAAAAAAAAAATTATAGACGAACACAAATGTAAATTGATTGAAATTTAATAGAAGAGATAGTTTTGGGCGGGCTTATCGTTTTAAGTCCATTTTTAAAAAAAATTTTTAGGCTTTAGTTTAGACACCTTGGTCTTTAACTTAAGCCTAAGCTTAGCTTGGTTAAGCTGGCTTGGGTGTGGGGCCCTTGCAAGCGGCAGTGGGCGGAACGCAACCGCAAGTTTCGTCGTTAAAAATGCTACTACTACTAGACTATGACATGAGCAAGTGAAATTAAATAATACAAAACTTAAGTAAAAGAACACTGTACTTCAGAACATTTACATCATATTTCAATAATTAATAATGCAGTAAAAAACAAACCTGTTTTAAATTATAAAAACAAACCGAAAAAAGATTTTTTTTAGACTGTAGTAATAATCCAATACTATATAGAAATAGCTTTTCCCGCGAAATTGGCTAAAAATGTAATTTGATCACGTGACCAAAAGAAAACGGAAAGTTGGAAAACTAAATATTTAATCTTAGCTTACAAAGTATTTCTCTGTTATAGCAATGACATAGCAAAATAAACAATATATGGACGTATATATTGTAAGCTAACAATTTAATATCAAAAGAAATGGACAGATAAAATGTTTAAAGTAGTAAGCTTTTTACGACAATATGAGCATGCCAATTTGCATGCATAGTTGGTTTACTTGATAAACAAAGGTATTTAAGGACATTTTATTCTCAATACTTAAATTTTACTTGCAGTCCATATTATAAAGACTAAAACATATACGAGGTAAACAAATGTTTAAATGATGTCCTCATTTGTTAATTCTTATTTCAATAAATTTTATATTATGCTGAAATAATTTCAAGTTTAAACTACGTTAAATTTCACCAGTAACTTCATTTTTACCAGTGACAGACTGATAATGTGATCTGATGCTCTGCACATTCACCCAAATATTAATCGATATCTATAGCATATACATGTCTGTAATACATATTTACAGCAAATTGTAATATAAACGACAGTCATCTACTTTTGCAAGTTACCATTTTTGACGTCACCGTAACTCGATCCCACTTGATATGCGATGTTTTAATGATTAAAAATTAAAAATACTAATTCTGAATAGTTAGAAATTCAGAAACATTGTCTGATGGATATTTTTCTTGCATACATTAATAATCAAAAGTTGTATTTATTTTTATGCCTCAAGTAATTTTAGGGATTTCTCAATATCTTTAAAATACCACAACATTTTAAAATTTTAATCAAAGTTTTCCATTTGGGGTGGTGTTTTTTAATAACTTTTAGTCTAAAAGACAAAAAAAAATTAGTGTTGTTGGTTTTAGTTTGCTTGTTATTTTACACAATCCTTTAAAAATACAATGGTCCTGGCAAACTTAATTCTTTCTGGTAGAGGAAATGACGTATACGTAAATCATGGATGTCAACCCTAGTTTCACTTTCTCATAAGCATTTGTGAAGATTGCCCTTGCCTTTGCTGAACTGTGTGCTAATAATCATATTTAAAAATATATTTATGAGACTTTAACTATTGGAATGAAATTTTAGCTGCCGTTTATAATGACATCAATTGTTATACATCACAATCGCCGTTTGCAAGCTGCGGCACCATTCGCCAGTAAATGTCTGATTAATCTTAAGAAACGAACCATAATCATAACGTCAACGAGGCTTACTGGTGTGCACTCGAAAAAACAGATCAATCCAGATGATAAAAATTTACCAATCATATCAAGCAAACCCTATTTTTTCCCTCATACACATACGGATGAAAATTTAGCTTTCATTCCTAATAAGAATACTGCGATGATTAATGTCATAGGCCCAGCCAAACCATTTTGCACAAAATTCATTTATCAACAAAAGACCCAGAGGCCCTACAATTCATTGCTAAAAAAAGAAATCTTAGACTTTGGCTTGGAAACTAATTACCATGGAAAGTTTTTTTCTCAAAGATGCTTTTCATCCAGTAGTGGCACTACATATGATGGCAGTTCAAATGGCAATAATCCTGAAAAAGGCTCTGATCCTTTACAAAAGCTTCCACGAAGATTATTAAAAAGATTAGAGAAAAAAGGAATTTCAGAAACAGAGTTCTTATCGAAATTGAATAACTCATTAGATGATGAGAGTGCTGCAACTGCACAGAAAGCATTCACTGGTAGTAAAGAAGACCTTGAGGAGTTATTGAAAAATATTTCTACTGAGCCAAAATATTTATCAGAAACAGATAGTTTTCCTTCTGATATGCAGAGATACAAGCAATGGAAAAAACAAGAACTTGATACCTCCTCAAAGCCAAAGGTTGCACCATCCTTGACATCCGTTGTTCTTTTTCCAGGTCAAGGTAGTCAGTTTGTTGGCATGGGTAAAAAATTATTACATTTCCCAGGAGTCAATGATCTTTATGATGAAGCAAGTTCAATTTTGGGTTATGATCTCCTCAGTTTGTGCTTAAGAGGCCCTAAATCTGAACTTGACAAAACTGTGCATTGCCAACCTGCTGTCATGATAACATCTTTGGGGGCCATTGAAAAGTTTAGAGAGGAACATCCTCAGGTAAAGGTATAACTTTTAGTAATTTAATTATACTTTTAGTGCTTCACATGAAATTAAAGGTTTAAATTATTGATGTAAATTTTAAATCAAGAACATGTATATGTAACTGTCCAAGCTCCATTGTTATTTACTCCAGGCCCCCATCTAGGTATAAGGAGAAAAAGCAATGTTAAAGGTGACCTTCCTTACTAACCTAGCTCTTTAAGTCTCGTTAAATATATTAAAAATTATAGCCATATCTACAAATTATCACTTGGTTTTTAAACTTATGCTTCAGGCTGTGGAAAATTGTGTGGCTACTGCAGGTTTCAGTGTTGGCGAGTTTGCTGCTCTTGTATTTTCTGGAATGTTGTCATTTCCAGATGGTAAGTTCAGTCTTGTGTTGTAGTTTAGTAGGTAGAAAGTAAGTGGCAAATTACCACCATATTACCTCATTCTTAACCCCATTTATTCATAAGTTGACACCCCCCCCCCCCCCCCTGTTTTGTCAGAGAAAAACCTTGAAAAGAGTGTAGAATGTTTATGATAGCACACCCCGTAAAAATTTGGCAGATGTAAGCAATACAGGACTAAGGAAAACACTTTTTTAAAAAAAAAATCCGGACTTTAAAAAGAAATTATTGTGTAAATAAAAGATTTAAACATTAATAAAAATACAGTATAATGTATTTGAAAGGTACTTGATTTGCTTGTCTAATGATACTAAACATTTCCAAAAATAGATAACTGCCCCTTGGTGAAATATGTGGTCATCTTCTTGTATTTGCATGCATATATTACACTATAAATATCAAGAAGTTTGGGGCGGATTGCATTATTCCAGTCTGGTAACTGGTATGATATTAAATATAGGTCAGGTGCAGGTACCCAACTGTATCAAAATAAGATTTTCCCTGACCGTTCCATAATTTAAATTTAACTGCTGCTATGACCATGATCTTATAAAATATGACAATTTAACCTTGTTGGTTGACGAGTTGAGAATTATTGTAGGTACTCACTTGTGACCCAATTTTTCATATCTCCTTTGACAAGCCATTATAAGCTGACCCCCCCACTTATTCCCCTAAAAATTTCAGAATAATGTTGGCTTTAGTTAGAATGATTATCGGCAAGACTTGCACAATTATGCCACTTCTTTTGTAACGAATGTGAATGTGTCATGCGATATGTTATTATCCTCCCTGTGCAGCAACTCCTTTTGAAAAAAAGTGATACATTTTTATTTTATATTTTTCTTTGTATTTATTATATAAAATCTAATAACATATTGTCTTTTGTTGTTTTTTTTGGTATAAACACTGGCTTGAAAGAAATTTGCAAAATTGATTATGAAAAAATGGATGTAGAAAAAAATGGTTAATTGTTAAATTTAATTCTTAAGAATTTAACTCAATCTATAGACTTTGTATTATTCTTTTCATTTCCCAGCTGTAAAACTTGTGAAAGTTAGAGCAGAAGCCATGCAGAAAGCATCAGAAACTGTTGGAGGTGGGATGCTCACAGTATTTTTGGCTCATGATTCAGATCTAAAAGCAGCTATAAGGACAGCAAAGGATTACTGCCAGGAGAGGCGGGGGATTGAAGATCCAGTGTGTGTTGTAGCAAACTATCTGTTTCCTGAGTGTAAAGTTTTAGCAGGTCATGAAGAGGTAGTTTAATACTTCTCTACATTTTAATTTTGATCCATGAACTCAGTATAAATTTCACCCTGTTATAAAAATTTGAATATGAATAAATTGCAGAATTCATGTGTATCAATTTATAATTTAAAATAAAAATTAATTAAGCCACTAAACAGATTAGTAATTTGTAAACTGTGTCTAATTATGGATATATAATATATACGAGATCGCTATATACGCAATATATAACTCAATACTTTGATTATTCATAATAAGATCTTATGCACACATTAAATTGAAAATGAAGTTGACAACAATCCTATGGTAAACACATCAGTTGTTGACACCAGTCTTATGATTGTTTAAGGGAGTAAATGAAAACAAAAATAACAATACATCAAATAAATTTTTTAATACTGTATTAATTCTTTATCCATTTATCTTAAACTTAAACATAAATCAAAATCATACAATCTTTTCCCCATAATTACTAAAGGATTTTCACCGAAATAATATAAAATAAAGCTTAATCGCATGATTTATATTTTCCTTTGTTCACTCGCCCTAAAAATATGTTAATATTCTTTTGGATATTTCATTAACAAATATTTAATGTATAACATTTTGAAATTAAAATTAAGCTCAATAAATAAATTCAACTTGTGCTTTTATTTTGACAGGCCCTTGAATTCATTTCAACAAATGCCAAGGAATTCAATATCTTAAGGACAAAGCGCCTGCCTGTCAGCGGAGCTTTTCATACAAAACTCATGGAATCTGCTGTGCAGCCATTGCAAAGAGCTTTAGCTGGGATGAAAGTGGGAAGTCCAAAGGTAACTTTAACTTTTGCACAAGTATGCCTTTGAAATAACAACTCAACTTGATCACATTGTCTGCCTCCCGTCCAAAATGTGCAGTTTTGTGGGATAGACTCTTCAGCCCAGTAAAACTGATATTCCTTGGAAGGTGTTATATATACACTGAAAAAATCTCAACTTCTGATGTTGGAAGACAACAGCCACTTAGGTGTGGAATTTGTAGAATTGGCTGTCTACTTTATATAATTGTTCTAAAGCATTTTCCTTCATTACCCCACTCCCTTAGTTTTGGATGGGAAAAGCCTGAAAATTGTACAACCAGCTTATAAGCTGATCCTATTAAATAATATGCCAGCGTAAGCACTAAGGTACCAAAGAATGTCTAGGATGAGATTATGCTGCTCTTAAGAATGACTGAATAGTTGTCATCTACTTGTTTTTATCTTATGTTGTACACAATGGCGGAATCGCATCAATTAAAAAAAAATTGTTGTTGAAATCAAAATTTGTAAAAGGAAGAAAATAATCAAATAAATAAGAAAAGTGCAGATATTTATTAACATTTAAAGCTCTGATAACATATTTGAATCTTTTGACAGTATGGTGATCTACTTTAACAATTTCATTGTTCAATCTACCTGGAGAATGTTATGAAAATCTGCCATGATAAGCCGACCATCCGATTTGTTCCCCTAAAATATTTCCAAAAAAAAGTCCACCTTAGAAAAAGTTTATGGGTTATGCTAAAAAATAAACTGTGGTCTTGCCAGTGAATTTAAAAAAAAAAAATGAATCTCTTATTCTAAGTTAATGTGATAGATTTTTATCAGTTTTGTTGTAACAAGATTAAATATGATTTTTTTTTTGGTAAGATCTCATATTTTCTTTACTTTCATCCTCAGCTTACAGTCTACAGTAATGTCACCAATTCCCCCTACCATCCCAAAACCAACTTTTCTTATATGCTGGCCCAACAATTAGTCAAACCTGTGAAATGGGAACAAATAATGCATGGTGTGTACTCCCGATGCCAGGGACTGGAATTCCCAAATACTTATGAAGTTGGTCCAGGCAGGCAGATGGGGACCCTATTGAAGCAGGTCAACCTTCAGGCTTATAAACAGTATCATAGTGTAGATGTATGATGTCCAGAGCAATGTGTAGGAATTAATTTTTAATTACTTTGTTGTTATTTATGGTTTTTTCCTCAATCACAAGATTTGTATGTCTTCTTTTAAAAACAACTTTTTTTTATCCTGAAACTTATTACCAGTTATTTAATAAATGCTGTATGGGTTATCTCAGAGCAGGTGTGATGCACACATATAAGAAATTCAGCTGAAAGTAGTGTTACATTTATGCAGTAATGAATTTGAGCGTAAAATTAAAAACAAAAATTCTTTCTTCATTTAAAAAAATGAATCATTATCAGCATCACACTATTTCATTGCTCTATGCTGATCATTTCATTGTTACAACTTTAATGATATTCAATTGAAGATGGAAGCATGTGTCCAAAGGTGTTGAGTTTGCATGTTCATTCTATTTTTGTACTGAAAGAACATATCAAAGCTTAAGAGAAAATAAATAAGAATTTAACAAAATATATACATCTTATTTAGTTATTTATTTATATATTATATATTTATTTATACATCTTATTTATATTTTTTATATGTTGTAGAACTTTTTGTAAATTTATTATCATTTCTTAGATCTGCACATATTTCAGTGCATCCACAATCTGTCCATCTTTATGTTTAAGTGGTTAATGTTGGGTCTTTGTGGCCAGTGCTTTGAATTAATGCCAGGATATATTTTGATGAGCCACAAAAAGAGCTTTAAAAAAAAAGCCAGATCATTGTCGTGACCAAATATTCTCATGACAGTCTCTTATTATCCTGACAGCGTCTCATTTTGTGACCAAATTGGTCTCATGACAGCCTCTCATTGTCCCGACCAAAGGTCTCATGATAGTCTCCTAAGACATCATTGTGCTGACAAAATATGTCTCATGACAGCATCTCATTGTCCTGACCAATTAGGTCTCTTGACAGCCTTATAAGACAAAATCAACCTTATTTAATGCAGGCTGAAACTACAATATAATTTGAAAATTATTGTACATTCATATTAGTATAAATTATAAAGATTAAATGAGTAGTATGAAGTAAAAAAAGAAAACCCAGGTGACCATGTTTGCATTCATCATCTATTTTAATAATGGAATCAACCAATAATAATAATAAGAAAGACTGCAATGAAGTGAGCATGAATATGATTTACAACACACATAAGCATATACACACATTCACTCATAATTAGAAATACTAATGATTTCATTTAATCTTTTCCAGACATATTGTTAACATTTTACAAAAATATTCTGATTTCAACCTCATTTAAAATTTTGTTTAAAAAATTTTTTTTTTTTGTTTGAAGTGCTTCTAATCTTCAAGGAAATTAAGCTGCATGTAAACATCAACATTAAGTTATGACAAACAGAAAGAAAAAAAAATATCTTACTGTTAACAAATTATGTTTAACTTATAACTCCAAAAATATTTTGAGACATGACAAAGATTTTTAAAATTAAAAAAAAAAAAAAAAAAAAATATCTTACAGTTAAAAAATTATGTTTAACTTATAACTCCAAAAATATTTTGAAAAATGAAAAAAATTTTTAAAATTAAAAAAAAAAAAAAAAAAAGGTTAGGCCATAGCCATAATTAAATGAGTGTTTTCTCTTGTTTAAAAGAAGACACTAAGAACATTTTGATACACAGGGGTGGGAAAATCAAGTGAAACAAATTCTCTGGTGCTGTAATACATATTTTCTTGGATATGGCTGATTATGTCACTTTACACTAGGTTATCTCACTTTACACAGCAGTTACTCAAATGTGCTGCCCATTCTCAGATTCCAATATTATGTTTTGTTACATCAAATGATGAGTAGCAACTTCCGTGCATGATGAAAAACAAAAGAAGACATTTTTTGTTTACAATAAAATAATCCTTGTCTCAAGCAAACCTTTTGACCAAAGTACCAGGAAAATTCCACACCAGAACAATCAATTATTAAATAGAGAACACATATAAATAGTGTTGCTGGGAGCAGTGTTTCTCAAAGTGGTGGTCCGCGAGTTTTGAGTTGCCGTTCCGCACAATATGAGACAAGAAACTGGATAAAAGTTTAACACCCATAAGAACAAAAGAACACCCCTTAAAACGGCCTACACGAAAGGGTAATATTTCATATAGTACTCTAGTATTAGCTGAGTAAAAAACATTTTATGCCATATTTAGGGTGAATTATTTTAAAAAAATAAAATAAATATTTCTGGCCTGCCGGTCTTTGGTGAAATGGGAACCTTGTCAACCAGTCTGCCAACTTAGTTTGGGAAACACTGGCTTAGAGGACAGATATGTTACTGAAAGCAAGCTCCCATTCTTAGCACATTGTAATAACAAAGACAGGCAGGAATGAATGGCAAAACAGAATCCTTTGCACTCAAATAACTTAATGTAAGGAACCACAACTCAAACTGTTCCGCTTTTAACGTAAAAAGAGTTGGGTTTCTCATTCCCTCCCCATTTACCCCAATGAACAAAAACGTCTGACTTGTTCACAAGCAATGGCGCTGTTTGTTTTTCAAACTCCTACAAGAGAATGGAGATAGTTTCCCGTGTGCTTCGCATCTTTAAAACATCACATATTACCATAATGTAAGATGGTGTAAGGCTGGGTGGGAGATAATCATTACAGTTGTTTGTGGTGGCGACCATGATAATATCCTAAATGATGGTAACCAAACATATGACAGGGCTCACTGTATACATGATAACCAATATTTAAAACAAATCATGTAAAAAATTGCAGATAGCCACATTCAACAAACCAGCCAATGAGTCACATGCAAATAAGCATTAGTTCTCAAAGAGTGTATTTTAAAATGAGATGTTCTTGGAACCAATGGCAATACTACATAGAAGAATGGCAATACTACATAGAAGAATTTCATAATTCCCAAACACAACTCACTGATGATAGGCAGTTATTTTCCATAATTACTTTAGCCCTAATGTGTCTTAGATTTAGACAAAAGTGCACGCTGCAGTTAATAAATAGCAAACAAACAAAAATAATTCTGTTCTGAAACAGAAGTCTGTAATATGTTCAGTTAACAAGTATATTTTCATTTATTTTGTCACTTTTGTGTGAAAAGTGTGCAAGAATAAAAATGAACTTCAAGAATCTCATTTATGCAGTTAGCAGCTCCTCACAAAAGCAAAATAAATATTTACATAAACAATAGATAAACAAGGGGGGGGGGGGGGGGGGGGGGGGGGGCGAATTGGTTAGCCAACTGGTTCTTAATTCATGTTTCTAAACACCCCCCCCCTCTCCGCCCCCCAAACCAAACCTCCCTGACCTCCCTGACTTAGTGAGATGTAACCGAGTCCACATTTTAATTTTGTTTTGATTTGATTTATCTGGTTTTGAAGTATTAGCAAATTTTAAATTAAATTATTACAGGACTAAAAAATGTATATATTTATATGAAGTAGAGAAATGGCTATTGCTGCCATTTAAAAAAAAAAAAAAAAAATTCCCTATTCCCTTTTCAGAATACAAACTTCTGAGGCATCATGCAAATAAATTGTTTCCTTATGTATAAATTCATCTATTACTATTATTATAAGAGGATTGTTATTTAATCTAATATAATATGTGGGTGTATGAAACTAGCTTACAGGGACCTCTGTTAAACAAAAAACATGAATTTCTAGTCTTTTTGTGAAAAAAAAAACTTGATTTAAGAACCACTGGAATGAACATACAAGTTCAAATTAAAAATGGTGACTGTTGATGAACAATTGGTTAACAGACAACATGATCATTAGAGCTGCTGTCGAATTCAGAGCAGTTCAACTGTGAATAATGTGAAGCTCTTTTTTAAAATTATTTATTAAAAGATCTCAATAGTAATGAATTATTGACAAATTTAGTAACAGCCACATTTCACCAAACAGCATAAAAAAATTTCAGGAATTACATTCATATACAAAAGCCCAAACGTTGAAATAGTCACAGAAACCATGGTGGACCTCTAAGCCGTAGCTCAGCAGTCATGATGTCTACAAGAATTGTATTGGTCATTAGAAAATGTTTGACAACACACATGTATTTAAATAAAACTAAACTGTTCACAAATTCCCTCCATTTTGAGTATAAGACAAGTTCTTTGAAATTGAATTCCAAACCCATCAATTGAAAAGTCATTTTTCCGCTACAACAACGAAAAAATAAAAAAATTAAACAATGTGACTTGTACATACCAACATCTGATCAGGGGGGGGGGGGGGGGGGGGGGGAAGTCAAAATGATAACAGGCAGTGGCTGAATAGTTTGTCAAGACAGATGGTGGCTGACTTTGTTAAGTTTCTTTTCATGTTACTTGTTTATGAAAAAAGCTAAGGGATGGATTGTCTATTATGTTTGACCACCAGATTTGGAGTTTCTATAATAGATTAGCAAAAACCAGCAACAACTTTAACTTTAATGGATCACTGTGGACAATTTTTTACGTAAATGATGAGTTTTCCATGTATTCAGATGCAAAGAACATGTCCTGGAAAAAATTTATAACATTCCATCTCCAGAAGAAAAATTGAAGAAAATGACTTGTATTTTAACTCCAGTATGAAACATCTAGTTAAACTGATTTAAAAAGACACTTTAATTATAACAAATGCACAATTTATACAGGCTTTGTATGTTAATGAATAGGAATACCATAATTGTAAGCATTTTATGGTATCCTGCAGTCAGGATCCTACCCTGCAAAATAGCCAAGTTTTCAGAAATCATCAATGGCTCTAACTGCCAATACGAGAAAATAAAAGCTGCTTTCCAAATGATATGAATATTAAAGGAAGTTTATTTACTGTCCTGCTTTTGATTGGATGAAATCACTATTACAATATTATTAACAATATTTATTGTATTAGAAATGTATTGCAGATGAGGGATAAACTCTTTGTGAAACTAAATAGGTATACTAAAATTATACTGCTGATAGACAGAGAGTAAAAGAATTAATCCCTCTGATTTTAACTTTGCGGGAGTTAATTGAGAAACTATAAGGAATTTGAAAAAATACAATAACAACTAAATCCAATTAACTCATCTCAGATAGGTCATGTACAAACAGAATTGTTCCCAAAGAAGAAACCAAAAGATTTGTACTTTCATTAAATATAATGTTAAACTGAGAAGACATTGTGACCATAATTTGAAAAATCACATTCAGTGTTAGAAACCCTGGGCATTTTAATTTTAAGCCATCATTGTGACAATGATCCGTTTCTTTTCAGGGCTGCATTCAAAAGTAGTGAATTTTGCTTTTCTCATTGGCCTTGACAAATTTGCACACATATACTGGTGACTGTTGTACACTTAGAAAAAACCCAAGGCCACTGAATAATAACTCTTCTGTAAATTTTTTTATGGGATACACACTGGCAGTTACAGAGAAAAACAGAGAAAGGTTTCCTAGTGATCATGTCAAAAGTTTCACCAATCACATTTCCAACATCATTCTCAGTTAGATTTGGTTATTCCAGACAACTTTATT